ATCTCACAATTCTGACTTTATAACACGCAATTGCGAGTTAAAGTCAATTTTTTTTGGGGTGCGGGAACATACAAGAACTGATATGTTCTCATAATTGCGAGTTTCTATCTCACAATTATGACTTTTTTAATTCACAATTGCGAGTTTGTATTACACAATTATGAGAAAAAAAAAGTCAGAATTGTGAGATAAAAAGTCGCAATTAACTTTTTTATTTTTTATTCAGTGGCGGCTACGGCCTTCCATAATAATAACCCTGGCTAACTAGTAACTAACTAGTTTTAAACGGTAGATAAAAATAACAGAAAGTGAAAAACAAAACATAATTACTACAGTAAATTGACCTTTTTTAATTAAGTTTTGATTAATTCAATACTCCTGGAAATCATAATTTTTTTTATAAACTCCCTGTTATTTCCATGCTTTCTATGTCCTTGTGAACCCTGAAATCACAGACTAGCCTGCTGATTTCCTCTAAATAGTTTCCATTTCTTGTTCTACTTCTAATTTTAGACGCAGCAGTTCTACTAGCACTTCCTACTGACGGCTGACAGGAAGAAGGCTGTGCTGGTTTCTGCTAGTCAGTGTCTAGCTTAAGAACTAGTTAGGCCTTCCGCGTTCGACTGAAGATATCACTTGTTGTTTCAGTCCGTTTCTCTGACTAACAGCTAACACGTATGTTTCCCACAATGCTCCTCATGTTTATTGACAGAGCACGGCTCGGTTTGCCTGACTCTCGAGCGCGTCGTCTCTGTGTTTCTGGCCAGCGGCCCGGAGTTAGCAGGGGTCCCTGTCTGCGCGGTACACACGAGGTCAACCTTCTTAAGAAGCCAGAGGAATATAAGAAGCGAGACGGTTCATCTGATGCACGTGTGTCTGTAATCTGTCCAATCACGGCCCGACAAACATGCAGAATAAATGGCCGCCTGACAGAAATATGTGGAGGGGTGTGCCTCCAAAAATACAAAAGTACACAGAAGGGAAAGAGGATATACAGTATGTGTGTGTGATTAGTTTAAAAATATGGATGACAAAATGATAAAGAAAGACAGATTGACACAGAGAGAGAGAGAGAGAGAGAGAGAGAGAGAGAG